CACTTGAATAAATAAATGGTTGTGGAAAATTGGACAGGTACATGCAAAAAAATGAAACTAGACCACCAACATACACCATACACGAGAATAAACTTAAAATGGATAAAAGACAAATGTAAGTCACAAAACCACAAAAATCATAGAAAAAAACACAGGCAATAAAACTCAGACACCTCATGTAGCAATGTTTTTATCAATATGTCTCCTAGGAAAAGGAAATGAAGTAAAAAGTAAACAAATGGGACTACATAAAACTAAAAGCTTTTGCACAGCAAAAGAAATCATCAACAAAATGACAAGGGAGAATCACTGTATGGGAGAAAATATTTGCCAATGATACACCTGTTAAGTGGTCAATTCCCAAAATATATAAAGAACTTTTACAACTCAAGACAAGAAAGACAAACAAGCCAATAAAAAAGGAGCAAAGGACCTGAATAGACACTTCTCCAAAGAGGACATATGGATGGCCAATAGACTTATGAAAAATGCTCGGTGTCACTAGTCATCAGAGAGATGCATATTAAAACCACATTGAGATATCACTTCACACCTGCCAGAATGACTACCATCAATAAATTAAGAAACAGCAAGTGCTGGCGAGGATGTGAAGAAAATTAAACCACAGTGCACTGTTGGTGAGAATGCAGGCTGGTTTGGTCACTGTGGAAAATGTTATGGAGTTTCCTTAAAAAATTAAAAATTAAAAATTAAACTGCCTTTTGACCCGGAGACCCTACTTCTGGGAATATACCTTAAGAATCCAGAAACACAAATTTTAAATAGTATATGTGCCCCAATGTCATAGCAGCATTAGCCAGATATGTAAACAGCCCAAGTGCCCATCAGAAGGTGAATGGATTAAAAAAAGCTGCATTACATTTACACAATGGAATACTAGATGGCCATATAAAGAAGAAAATCTTATTTTTTGCAACAACATGGATGGACCTGGAGATTATTATGCTAAGTGAAATAAGCCAGTCAGAGGAAGACAAATCCCATAAAATCTCACTTATATGCAGACTCTAATGAACAGATAAACAAATAGGAAAATAGGCATAGAACATGGAACAGACTGACAGCTGTTAGAGTAAAGGGGGAAGGGAGAATTGGATGAAAGAAGGTGAAGGGTTGAAACAAACAACATATATGTATAACGCATAGACACAGACTACAGTGTGGTGATATCAAAAGAGAAAAGGGAGTGGGAGATCGGCAGGGATGGGCAAAGGGGGAGAAATTGGAGACATCTAATAGTGTTAACAAAAAGAATAAAGTTAAAAATAAAATAAAATAACCCTTCGTCATAAACTGAACTCCCTATTCACTTATTTTGATTCCTGAGACTTTCAACCCTGCTCCATTGATCTTTCTATTTTTTATATGTTAGCACCTCATTGTTTCACTGTTGCTTTAGAATAGCTTCTAATATCTGTTAGAACATTCAATTCTCACTCCCTTCTATTTTCTTCAGAAGTAGTTAAGGTTCTATTTTTTTATAGGCTCTAATTTTTAATACGTAAAAAAGCTATTGATTTCTATAGAGAAACTTTGCTCCCAGCCATCTTTCTGAGCTGTCTTTCACTGTGGTGATTGTCAGTTGATTGTGTGGGTTTTCCAGAAGGACAATCACACCACATGCCATTCTCTCCTAAACCCACTTATTCAATCTTCCAGCCCCACCATCCACTGAATCCATGCCTGTCATGATTGGCAATGACTCTACATTGCATATCCTGAATCTAAGTTACTCTTATGTAACTCAGTCTCTCAAGTCAGATTGAGGCTAGTGCACACTCCCAACTTCTCAAATTACTACCACAGTTCAGTTTCAGGATACCGTGCTCTCCTTCTTTACCCCCTCCTTCCTTAGGTGCTTCTTATGACTGCATTGGCTGGGTCTTCCTCTTCTACCAGGGGTCTAGAGGGTGGAGGCCCTAATGCTGAGAATCAATCTCTTCTCCAGCAACACTCACTCCCAGGGTGAGCTCACCCAGCTCATCTGGAATGTAGAGGCATAGTCCTGTGTGAAATTCATCCCTGCATCTCCACTGCCTGCAACAGTACCGGGCACACAGCATAGGCACAGAGAAGAGCTGGGAAAAGCAGAAATGAGTAAATGAGTTTTTCTGATTGTTTTCAATGCTTCATAGTTAAGTTATTAAAAGAAGTGCCACATAATTCCATTTGGCTGCGGCATGGGCATGTGAAAGGAAATTATCAGAGCTAAAACGGAAAATTGTGGTTGTCCCCAGATCATCTGAAAATAATCTAGCTAAGAAATATCATGAGTAGAGAGAGAAAGGTGTGTGTGCTGTGTGTGTGGTGTGCTAAATTCCTTATCTTTTATAAGGAAACACAGAGTTGTTGATACTGATAAATCAACACTAGAAATATAATTTATTATGCAAAGCTATAAAATAACATCATTTTTTTATGAAAATTACTAAAAATGGAAAAATTAAAGACCTGTTTCTGGCAAGATGAAGACTTCAATGGCTACAAACTTACCTTCAAGTGTGTGTCAGCACCTCTTACCAGTGTGGCTCTCTGCAGGACCTTCATGTGAGCAGCTTCCCTTTTCAGGCAAAGTTTCATAAAATAATTAAAAGTGGAACTGTAAACATTGGTTGAGATAGGGGAATGAGATTAGGAGAGACATTACATTTCATTTCATACACTCCAGTATCCTCTGAAATATACTAACGTGTGCTCAACATTCTGTGAGTAAATGAAGATCAGATGAGCCAGGCCATGCAGAGCCCCGAATGCCAAGCACTCTTCTTGAGGTATGGAAGTCCACCCTGCCTGGTGGCGGGGCTTCCTGCAGAGACCCACAGTGGACAGCAGCTGGCTCCAGGACAGCCATTCCTCTCACGAGGGGGACCAGAATGGGGAATATGCAGAGAGGAAAAGATAAGTCACTGGAGTTGGGGCAATGAGAAACATCTCGTGATGCCGTTGTCTCAATCTCCAGAATCTCATCTGCTAGTGCCCTTCTGGTACAGAAAAGCACAGGGGCTGACCAACATCTTGATAAGACTCTTCTGGTCTCGAGAGCTCATTCCTGCTTTTGCAGGCACCTCCTATCCAGGGGCTGGAAGAGCATCCTCTGGTTTTCAGCACTCCCTGGGAAGCTCTCCCTTGTCTGCTCTCACCCTTCAACTTCAAGGTGGTAGTAAGGTAAGAGTTGGCTCAGAACTATCTTCTCTCAATGGCTATTTTGTTTTGTCCCTCTGAGTCTACATGCTCACAATTGCACACTGGGTGGGGGATGCAGGCAGCCATAGGGTCCATCAGCGAGAATCCAGAGATAGTAAGACCCCTCAGGGAAGCTTTGGGTGCTGGTAGTGTAGACCATAGGAGATCCAGACAGGGCCACCCAGGTCTCCTCTGCTTCACTGACATCGTTTTCAAAACTAAACTATTGTTAATAACCTCAGATTTCACAGATTAGTTTATTCTTCCATGGGCTTGTTTTCGTGTGTGTGTGTGTGTGTGTGTGTGTGTGTGTGTGTGTGTTTAAATTTTTTTTTTTTTTGTATCCTTGTGTCTGGTTTGCCCCAGCAGAAAACATAGGGTATTATCCAAATGAGGTTATTGAGAAAAGCTTAACGAAAGGACTGTGTATAAAAGAATGAGCAGGGCTCAGGGAAATTGATAAAGTGTCCTGAAGGCCACAATCACAAGTCATAATAAAGAGCTATTGTCATTACACATCCTGAAGGATAGAGGGAAAGATAAGTTACCAAAACTCAGGGAGACCTGTGGCTATAGCTGTGCTTGTCACTGTGATCATAAGGAAAGCCAGCAGACAGGGACTATGTCCTTAGGTAGAGTAAGGACTACCTTGGCTAACTCACAGCCTAAAGCTGAGAGCCAGGGAGTTCCAACCCTAATCCCCTTCCTCCGGCCCTCCAGTCACCTGTCAGTGTCTCCCTTTCCTGAGAGCAGTCAGGAGCCAGAGGGAAAGGGAGCCCCGTGGTGAGGCAGACAGACCAATCCTCCCAGGACTCAGAGAAGAGTAGAGAAAGTTGAAATGAGATTTGTTGGCAGATTAAGAAAATTCATCTCTTCTTAAGGTCTCCTGACACTTCATTTTCCTTGAGCTGTCTCTCTCAGTGTGACTGGATCAATTTCTCATTGTATCTCCTCTGTTTGACTCTTTGCACCTCCTTTTTGGGTGGCACTTCTTTGGAATAATTTCTCACTATCATCATAAATGCCTTGAGAATAAAATGTACGTTGTTAGGGGTTTGTTTGTTTTTTTTAGAAAAAAAAGTGGGAGTATAAAGTGATTGATAAGTATTTTATGTTTATGATTTTCACTACTCAAGGAAGAAACCCATTGAAATAGGGACGTAAAATGTGTCCCACATTAGCTAGACACATCGCCGAACAGGAGAAAAGTGCGTCCTGTCTTCATAAAGATGACACACTCAGCCATCTCTAGCACAAGAGGCCTGGCCAAACTAACACCCCTCAGAGCAAGAGGATGTGTTCCACTTATAAGCCTAACTCCTGATCTCCTTCTGGGGGCTGGACATTGCAGTCACTGATAAAGCCCAGAGGTCATGCCTGCAGCTTCCAACTTCCAACCCTTTAAAGGATATCTCAGTCCCAGGGCAGAATAATGCTGAGATCAGACTCCTGTTGTTATCTCAGGTACCTGTGCAGATTTTTCTCCTCCTGCCCCCTAGAGATGTAACGTGGCCAAGGACTGTGCACGGAGGTGTTTGGACCATAAATTATTCCCATATCAGTAGAGGGTCAGTGTCGCAGTAGAAAGAGCCCAGTATCTGGAGGCAGAGACAACTGGGTCTGAATCCAGGTTCTGGCACTCCACGGCTGTGGAATCTTCAGGGTCTTAATCTTGGCAAGCCTCCATCCCCCTCCTCTTTAGCTCAGACAGTGATTCCCACGTAGCGAGGTGGCCATGAGACTCATTGCTCACGTACCAGGGGCTCAAATCTTGTTTCTGTTCCAGTGGCACCAGTGGAAGGTTTCTGAGCATGACTCCATCACTCACAGCCTGGAGCACAGAACTCACACCAATAAGTGCAGGTGAACAGCCCCATCCACTAACTTCCGATATGAAGGTCATAATCCTGATCTTCCTAACCGTCATCATTGCCCTGGTCGGGCTGGCAGGAAATGCCGTTGTTCTCTGGCTCCTGGGCTTCCACATGAGGAGGAACGCCTTCTCCATCTACATCCTCAACCTGGCTGGAGCTGACTTCCTCTTCCTCTGCTGCCAGATTATGGATTGCCTGTACAATTTCATCATGTCCTTGTGTTCTGTCTCAACCCTCATGGTGGACTTCTTCTTCATTATGTCCGTCTTTGCCTACATCTCTGGACTGAGCTTTCTCAGTATCATCAGCGCAGAATGTTGTCTGTCCATCCTGTGGCCCATCAGGCACCACTGCCGCTGCCCCAGGCACATGTCAGCTGTCATGTGTGCCCTGCTCTGGGCCCTGTCCCTGTTGCTGAGCATCCTGGAAGGGAACTGCTGTGGCCTCCTGAACTGGGATTTGCATGACTATCGGTGTCCAGCATTGGATTGCATCACTGTAGCCTGGCTAATTTTGTTATTTGTGCTTCTGTCTGGGTCCAGCCTGGCCCTGCTGACCAGACTGCTGTGTGGCTCCCAGCGCCTACAGCCCACAAGGCTCTGTGTGACCGTCATGCTCACAGTGCTGGTCTTCCTCCTCTGTGGCCTGCCCTTTGGCATCTACTGGTTCTTTTTATTCTGGTTTCTAAATGATGGTGATGTCTTATTTCATCTTTACCTGGTTGTGGTTCTTATGTCTTGTGTCAACAGCTGTGCCAACCCTGTCATTTACTTCTTCGTGGGCTCCTTTAGGCAGCGATGGTGGGAACGGCGACAGACCCTGAAGCTGGTTCTCCAGAGGGCTCTGCAGGACACCCCTGAGGTGGACGAGCATGGAGGGAGCCTTCCTCAGGAGCCCCTGGAGATGTCGGGGAGCAGTCTGGCATCCTGATTCAGAGTCTTGCTTTGCTCAGTGAGGTGTGAATATGAGATATGACTTTCTCCCCACTGGTTTGGAAGGTTTTCTTAACGTGTCTGTCCTCTAGCCCCCGAATTAATACATTTAACCTAATAATCCTGCTCCTGAGGTTTAAGACAGTCCCTTTACGCAAACACTGAGAGCACTGCCTGCAGGACCGCCTCCCCCAGGGCCCTCGCCCCATCCCCATGGGGGCTTTGCCAACTCTGAGCGCGGGACTATTCCCTCCTCTGCAGAATCCCACCTCCAGCACCTGATGAAAGCAGTGCAGGAAACTCTAAATTTCTTTCACCAGTGTACTCATAGAAGCAACAAGCAAATGACATTTTTGACAAATGTCTGTGGTCACTCCCCCCGCCCCCCCCTGCAGTCTGTCTCTATAAATTGAAAGAATTAAAGTTCAGTTGAGCACTAATGCAGCGGTCTTCCTTCATTTTCGCAGGCCTTAGACTAGCTCCCTAACATACTAAATGTTGGCTGAATAAACAAACTAATGAAAGAGCAGACGATGATTTTCAAGTCAAGTCTGTGCTAAATCTCCATTTGCCTGACTTCAGGCACCAGCTTTAAGTTTATTGGTTTACCATTTTCAAACTCTGCAGTGTGAAGTTAGCTTATAACTAGATAAATAAGCGTCAGGGTGTATTTAAGATCTGAGGTATGTTGTCTACCCGTGTTTCCCTTCACACGCTCTCTGAGAGAATCCCACACACTCCCTCTCATCCTGTCCTTTGCCCTTGCCCTGACTCTCCCTCTCCGGATGCTCTCTAATCCTTCATGGCCGGTTTGCAAGGAGTGTTATTTGACTCCATGTTCTCCTGGGACAGGATCTAGGTCAGATTTGCCTTTTATCCAAAGAGCTCTCAGCATCTATTAATCTGATTACAGGAAAATTCTTAAGTCACGTATTCTATAAATAAATATATTAAGTTTAAATGTTGAATCCTCTAAACATTTTTAATCGAGGTATAATTAAGAAAGGGGTGACTGTGCAGATCATGAGTTCTATGAATTTTGGCAGTGAATGCAGCCATGTGAGTCAAAACCCAATCAAGATATAGTTTCATCACCTCTGAGAGTTTCCTCCCAGTCATTCCTTCTGCCCCAGAGAAAGCATTTGTTCCTACGTCTGTCACCAAGGGTTCAATTGCATGACCTCTGACTTCATATGGTGAGGATGATAAAATGCACTTTTTGTTCCAAACTTCTTTCACTCTGCATAACATTTTTGGGATTTACTCATATCATTGCATTCCATGTATCAGCAGTCTCTCCCTTTTATAAAGTTGAGTACCATTTCATTGCATGTGTATGCTACAAGTTATTTTTATGTTGATAGATACATAGGTAGCATTCCATTCTGCAGTATTGCGAATGAAGCTGGTGTGAACATTCCTAATTGGGTCTTTTTATGAACACGTGCTTTATTTCTTCTGGATGAATAAACTAAAGAGGAATTATTGCGTCACACAAGGATGTATCATAAACTCTACGAGAACTCGCCAAACTCTCTTCCAAAGTACTTGTGCTATTTCACAGTGCCACCATCAACATGTGCAAGCTCTAGCTGCTCCAGGCGCTCCCCTCAAATGTGCCATTGTCGGTCTGTTCATCTTACTCATTCTGATGAGCATGAAATGGCATCTCCTTGTGTTTTAATTTGCCATTTCCAAAATAAAAAAAAAACTAATGAAATTGAGCATCTTTTCATACTTATTGGTTAGCTCTGTTTTTCTAAATGTCTGTTTAACTTTTGCCCATTTTTATTGTGTTGACTTTTTTCATTATTTATTTGTAAGAGTTCTTATATATGCTGAATATGTCCATGGGTAGTTACGTGTATTGTAAATATTATTCCAGTTTCTGGCTTACCTATTCACTTTAGCAGATTTTATATTTTAGTTCACTTTTAGATTTAAGGAAATACAGCAAAGAAAGTAAGGAGGTTTTCTATACACTCCCTCTCCCCATCCCCAATTTCCCATACAGTTTCTCTTATTTCTAACATCTTCCATTAATCAGGCACATCTATTGAAATTGATCCATCCACAGGGACACATTATTATAAAAACATAAGTTTATAGTTTATATTAGCATTTCACTTTTTGTTGTATAGTTCGATGAACTTGACAAATGCAGAATATCATACATCTACCATTATAGTATCATATAGAATAGTCTCTTTGTCCCAAAAATTAATTGAATACCTTGATATGGGTTTTTTTAAATGCATTTATGTAGCTTGGTGTTCTCTGAGCTCCCTGGATCTGTGGTCTGGTGACTGTCAATAATTTAGAAAACTCTCAGTCATTATCACATCAGATATTTCTTCTCTTCCTATTTCTCTCTTCCTCCTATGATATTTGAATTATATATCTGTCATATCTTTTGTGATTATCCCAAGTTCTTGACCATTCTGTTCTGGGTTTGGTTTGTTGGGTTTTGGGGGTTTTTTTTTTGTATTCAATCTTTTTTATTCCAGTAAGCAAGCTTCTATTTGCATATCATGAGGTTCAATGATCCTACAAAGTCTGTATCTAACTTATGATAAGCTCATCAAAGGCATTCTGCAATTGTCATAATGTTTTTATTTCTACCATTTCTGCTTTCTTAGAGTTTTCATCTTTCTGCTTATATTGTCCATCTGCTCTTGTATGTTGTCCATATTTCCCATCAGAATCCTTAGCATATTAATCACAGTTATATAAATTGCCAGTCTGATCATTCCAAATGGTTAGCCATATCCTAAATTTCTTACATCTTATATGGGGAATTAATTGTTCTTGTTGCCAATACTGAAAATTTAAAATAGAATGTAAGATTATTAGTCAAGACTATAATAGCTATTAAAAGAATTCAGAAGAAAAACTGAAACAAGCTGTACTTCTGGAGAACAGGATTCAGGAAGACTTTGTCCATTAATTTGATAGAATTTTATGTCAACTGGAAAATATGTACATTATTACTGTATACATTACCTGCATACATTATTACTGTGCTAATGAAAAATTGTAGAGGATGAGGCTGGTCTAAGATGACAGCATAGGAACACCCCAATTTTGCCTCTTCCCAGAAACACACTAAATGTGCAGCAATTCCTCCTGAAGAATAAGTAAATGCTGAATAAACAGCTGAACAGCTTCTGTGCAAAAGTGACAGAGGGACCACATAGAGAAGGTTGAAGATACATAAACTTAATAAAGATGGAAATTCTATACTAGACACAGGGACTTACAAGGGATGTGCTTTCAAAGGGACCCATGTGCAGTCTTGCTTGCCCTGGGGCACAGTAAACAAATTGCAATTTAAAGGGCACTGAGAATATTCATGAAGGAAACCCATTCACTAACCCTAAAGTATCTGCCAAAAAATGTGGGCAACTGCTGGCATGTTGCTGGATCTAATGCACCACGAAGCATCATTGTTTATGTTCCCACTCTTCCTGGACAGAATGGTAGAGGTCTTAGGCCAAACATTCAAGCCAGCCTCCAAGTCAGCCCTTGCATGCCCCAGGTCTCTGGATCAAACCAGCTCCAGTTGGCCATGGTGACAGGTTATCCTCAGAGCCGCGTGTCCTAGAAAACCACAGTCTTTGCCCACTCCATTTCAAACACTGCTCCACCAGAGCATACCTGAACCCAGTTTGTCTGCCATCTACTTAGCTTCAGCCAGCTGCACAACTAGTTGCCCAGCTAGGGTGGCCCTGGAACTACACACCTTATGTCACATCAGCCCAGGCACACTCTAGTTGCAGCTAACCACCCTACTGGGGCCACATGCCCTGGGACTCCTCAGCCCACACCCACCCCAGCTCCAGGTGGCCTGTGAAAACTACAGGCACACACACTCTACACAGGGCTTGCTCCTACACAAAGCCACACTTTCAAGACCAAGAGAGGTAGTTACTTCAAACAAGCACAGAAAGTCAAATAGATTGAGACAAATAAATATGTTCCAAATGAAAGAAACAAAACAGAAACCTCATAATCAAATTTCTAATGAAATGAAGATAAGTAATTTATCTAAGAAAGAGTTCATATTATTGATCATAAAAATGCTCAACAAACTCAGGAGAATAAAAGACACAATGAGAACTCCAAGAAAGTAATAGAAAATATAAGAAAGAGCTAATCAGATCTATAAAATACAATAACTGAAGTAAAAACAACAGCACAGGGAATCAACAGCTGATTAGAGGACATAGAAGAACTGTATTAGGATTAGTGATCTGGAGACAGAACAGTGGAAATCACCCAATGAGAACGGCAAAAAGAATATTTAAAAATTTGGGATAGTTTAAGGGACCTCTCAGACATCAAGCATACTCTCACTCACATATAGTGTAGGGAGCTGCTTTGAACGGTATCGGGAACTGTAGTCCCATGCAAGCTGTGGCCTGGGAGAGGACCCTTAAGACCTGGCCGGAACCCTGGTAATGTGGTTGATGGGCAAGACCCGATAATAACTCCAAGGGCCCCTGGGGGAAATCAGACCTGGAAGTAAATTACACTCCTAGAGGCATGTTTTGTTTCCCCCTCAAGCTCTGTTAATCTTATACCAGATAACCAGCTCGAGGCTGGGAAAGAAATTTACAAAATTCCTGGACCCTGTCCCAAATCCTACCCCACGCCATAATATTTGTTCATCTTGGACCCAAGCAATTTATTGTGTTCCTGCCACTGTCTTCTTTAAACATCACCTATTCTCTGTAAGCTTAAGTTAGTGATGTAATTAGATTACCTGCACATTCCTGCTACCTATCCCCAACTTGTAACCCTCGCAACAAAAGCCATTGAGCATGGAGCTCAGAGCATTCTCCCTTAGAGAGAATTGCCTTCCCCTTTCCTTGACAGGCAAACAGTGTCTGAAATGACTCATTATTTCATACACAGCAAACTGGGGGACTTTACGGGTTGAAGTTCCCCATATCATAGGATTCCCAGAAGGAGAAGAGAGAGAGAAGGGGAAGAAAA